GGGAGCGCCTCGTACTCCCCGGTGCGGATAGCAGGCAGGGCTTTCCTGCTCTCCTCCCATGCTGCCTCTCCGTACAGGTAAACTGCAAGACAGAGCTGGGGGTGAGCACCGCTCGGCGGGGGCTGGCAGCATGTTGTCTAGCAGGGGCTGGTTTTGCCCATTTGGGAGCAAAGCCCATTAGGTTAAGCTTCTGCAAAAGGTGTGCAGTTTCTCCACAGCTGGAGGCATGCGGGGTGGGATGGTGGCCCCCACTCACCAGGCACCCCCAGCTCCACTGCCAAGCGCTGCCCGAAGATGTTGGCACAGGCGACGCACTCCTCCATGCTGACATTCATCACTGGCACAAAGGGGCAGACATCCAGGGCCCCCATGCGAGGGTGTTCGCCTGGTGACGGGGCAGATATAAGGATGGGAGCAGACAAGGAGGGAGGACAGTCCTTTCCCAGCCTCTTTTGCAGACTGGGCACTGCTGTGCCATGCATTGGTTATGTCTACTCCAGCCTGTGGACAGGAGGGATTCAGCCTCTCTGGATCAGGAGGATGAACAAGAGCTTTTCACAAACCCACCACCATCCATCCCAGCAGTGCTGCTGGCAGCAGGTGCAGAAAAGTGCCGTGCTTAGCCACCAGCAGCTAAGTTTAGCTCCAGAGTTCAGCCTGCTCCTGTCCAGGGCACAACAACAGGACCACCAGCACTAGGTGATGTTGGGGGACAGCTGCTTCCCAGGACCCCCATGGTGGGCTCCTGGTGGTGGGTAAAAGCTCTCGCTGTGAGCAGGATTTGAACCTGCACAGGGAAACCTTATTGGACTTCGAGTCCAACGCCTTCACCCCTTGGCCATCACAGCCCCAATGCTGGGCACCTGGGGGACACCTGCCCCACCACCCCAGGTACCTCCCTGGTCCTCCCCATGCTAATACCCTCCTCTTTGGGGAAGGGGCTGTCAGAGCAGGGGTAGGACGTCAGAGTGGGGCTCTGCTGCCACCACGTCCCCACTGGGCAGCTCTGGGAGGCTGGGAAAAGAATCACTGACAGGGATTTTCTGGGCATGAAGATAAAGCCAGGGCAGAGGCTGGGACAGGGGGATGTAGCTCAGCGGGAGAG